TTTTGGGTATCTCTTACAAATTCTGTGTCATCAGCTGGAAATATCTGTACGGACAGGCAACATCTTTCATTAGGTGATTCTTATAAATATGCATAGCGCGATGGAAATTCAGTTTGTGGTATGTTTTTAATCGCATGGAGAAATCATAAACCATTAACTCCGAATTCCATCTTTGGATCGTAATATCAGACTACAGATGAAGGAGCCTATTTTGGTGGTAAATAAACTCCAGGTAGCCGTGGTGAAGGTTAATGCAGTGTTTTACATCGAACAGGTAATTATTCAGCGTTTTAATGATCCGGGCTATAATTGAAACCTTCTTTTAAGTTTGGGAAAAGTTGTTCACCATAACTTTATTGTCTCGTAAAGATCAAATTTCATTCTAGAAATAAGTCTATTCACAACTGTGGTATATCTGAAACGACAACAACAATGAAGAAGTTATCTAGTGTTCAAGTTTAGCTTAAAAAGTAGATAGAATCAGGTTTAAACTTACAACCGTTTGGAGTTGCAACAACTCATGTATTAAGAAAGTGTTCAAATAACTTAAAAAGAGGTACAGAATGGGAATCAGTATACCGAGTAAGTACTAGGACATCATTTTGTTAGGGTTTGAGTAAAGCAAAAACTGGTAATAAGCTGTAACATGAACTCTTAGAACAATTTAGGGAATGTATGAGATTCAAAAGATGAGAATTTGATTCAAACAAATCGTATGGCGTAATAATGGTAGTTAACTTGCAACAAGTAAAAATGATTGTTGATGTCAAATAACCATGATTTCTTCCGTTATTATGCATAAAATGTTGAAAACATTGTGTTTGAAAAGATAATCCTGCTCACTAACCTCTTTGTTCCATGACTTAAATGTAGACTTACTCTAACCAATAGTTTGGTTTCTTCCATAAATAACTACCAGTAATAACATTTCAATTGAAGCCTCATCCTGGAGTATTTACAAATATTCATTGTTCGTCTTTATTCCTTAGTCTAATCCCATTAAAATTATATAATATATCTTCGAACTCTCAAGCCATTTAAATTTATTGCAATAGACAAATATTAGTCGTCAAGTTGTAGTCACCAACATTTCTAGCTTTTTACTCGTCAGCCGTTGATAAAATCACAATGAAATTAGCAAAAGTGGATGAACTAAATCAGGTCGTAGTGTCTTATTCTATATCGAGCTCATATGAGTCATCCTCGCTTCTGAATGAACCAATTTATTTGTGATTTCCAAGTACCACTTTAACCTTGATAAGTCCTTGTTTTTTATTATCGATTGTTCACGGATGCGTGTGCGTATACAGCCGCTGTCATGAAAGTCCTACCCACTGCCTTCTCTCAGTGGGGGTGTTGTTCATAAAAATGAGTGAATGAAAAACGAATGTCTGGTGCCTTAACCGGGTTGGTGCACACGAGGGGTCCACTTAGGAGAGTTGGAAAACCATGATTTCAAACCGTTGGTGCACATCGGCTCAACTTAGAACCTCTTTGGATCAGACGTATCAAATTAAATCTTGTCTTTATCTACCGACTCATTAACGGTATTTCCTACTCTTCGGTATCCACCCCTTCATACCTTATGATATCATCCCACAATCTACGCAATAAGGAGAATATTCTAGCGATTCCAAGAACCCACACAAACTTACGTCAGAATTTTTTCCTTATTCGCTACTCAACCATGTGGAACAGACTGTCAGTGAACCTCCGTTGCAGTGAAACTACAACCCGGTTCAAAAGTCTCCTTGACGATTTTCTTTCCGAAAGTGGATTATGTCACCTATTGAATATCAATGTATTCAATAGTGGTTTATACAAACAAGGTCCGTCATCTATTTAATTGCTTGAAAAGCGAAATGAAACCTTTAAATCTTTTCACGTCTATTTTATTTTATTTCTATTTATCTTAATATATGAAATCTGCTTATGTTCGTGTTTATCATTATTACCGTTATTAATATCATTATTAGTTCCCCGACACATTAGATATTCTATTTATCTCTTCTTATCCTTCTAAACATAATTAACTCCAGATTGTCCTTTGAAATCAACTTTGACTTTCATAGCATCAATCTTAATTATCACTCTGTATACTATTACATAAATCTAAATGTATTCATCCGAGTGCTTTAAAGGACTTTTATTTTATTTCAATTGCTGGTTTCCTTCTGAGGTTGATATTCATTACACAATTATTATTCTTATCATGGACGAACCTTTTCATTAGGTGTTCACTTCTTTTCTTTCTCTTCTTTCCCTCTAAATAAATATTATTCTTAAGATTACGGAGTTTGTAATTAAAACAATAACTTGTGTTACATTTAAATTAACTTTTCAGATTGGTTTTATCTTCACTATGCGTATATGACTCATACTTAGTGATATTTTATTATCCTTTTCACTTAATTGTGACTATCATAGCATCACTCTAAACTATAACTGCACAAACATTTATTCTAGCGTCATATCTTACTGCAATTATAAGTTATTTTTTCTTCATTATTTTTTGTTACTAATTTGACGATACACACATAGTCGTTTATTCTTGTTCTGTGTTTATAAACACACCTATTGCACAGTTTGCGTATTTCACGTCTCCTTTATTTCTATTCCCTTATTTTCTCCATTTCCTTTAAACTCGATTCAATATTCTTCTCAATTACAAAGACCCGATTTATTATTATTAATATCCTACCATTATTATTCTAAATTTTTTTTTAAAATATGGCAAGTATAATGCTAACATTATTGAAAATTGTGTATTATTGCATTTTCTGAAGAAACCCGAAATGGTTTCTTCACAACACTTATGTACCCATAAGATGTTTGTGAATAATAATAACGTTGGTCCAACCATGTGTTGATTATTGAACCTTCGTGTCAAAGGCTCGGTGAGTGACCTCTCTAAGAAAATCACCTGCTTCGGTTCAGAGATACGGGCCGTATCCTAGCCGTCTCAAAGATCGAATGATTTATGTGGCGCATATATATTTGGTGCTTCATTGTACTAATGTGCACAAAATATATTTACTCAGATTTCATTCTTAAATTTAACTTGTTTGTTTCCATTATTCATCTATGTAATTCGAGTCGATTAATATATACGCTGGTAGCTGGGATATACATATATATATATATCAACAACGTTATCGATAATGTCATTTCACTAGCGGATTACTACTCTTTACTCATAGTTTATCGAGCCTTCTTCACAGTCTCTACGTTCCGATAAAAATGAGCACCTTTCTCACTGTACAGATGGGATTTTATTCTTTTCCTTGTGTTAGAGAATTTTACTATCAACATTTTAATCGAGATAACACCGGAAGAATTATTTTACCAAAAAATGCTAGCTTCTGGTAATTTAATACTCTTTCATTCAAGCATAGATGAAGCGCACTTACTAACTAAGAAAGCACTGTCCACATAACCACCCTTCTCTTTCCTTGACATAATATTAACTTGTGATGAAGAAGAGTATTTGAATAATAGTACGAATTAGGAATTCCTGAAATAACACAATTTCATCAAGAAGAATTACATGAGCAGGAGCGAACGTATTGTATTTGGAATTCAAAATCAAAAAGTCACCAAATACATTAGTTTATACAAACATCATATCCGTCTAAGTTTCTGTAATCAATTGTACGTCTTCTTGTGTTCATTCTGTATCTGATCGACAGTGTATTGGATGTAGACACTGTATGATCTAGAATGTACACATTAGTATTAAAATTAACAAATGCAATGGGGACGGTATGACCTGGATCCTGGAATTGTATACAATCACTATGTCGATTGTGTGCTAAACACATAGATATCTAGAATTCGAACCATATATATTCCGACACTATCCTCTCCCATGAAATAATGTTGGGTCTTTATATCCTCAAGTTATGAATAAAGTGGGTTTATTTAAAACATATTTCTCGTATTGACTAGAGTATTCATTATAAATGACCTCATGATAAAGATAGATAACAGTTGATATGAAATCATCCGAATTGTAATCAAAGTCGAACTCATTTAGTGCTTCTTATTGAACAAGTTTCTCACAAGAAAATGCATTATGAGTACAATTAACATAGGATATGACATCAAGACCTGGTTCTTCTGAAATATTTTTCTCAAACTTATTAAGGATGTCATTAAAGAGTAATGGACCACTACAAAAATCAGCACTTATCAAAACTGTGTCAGATTTTCAAGCATGATTTGATCCATTCAACATGTCCTACTTAGGTGAATAAGAAATTTCATCAAAAATATGTGAATAGTTAGGACAAACCATACTAGGTACAATAACATGAGAAACCCGATAAAAAGTTGATTGACTAGAAGCTTTTGATTTACAATGATTCTAAGTTTCGTTTAATTATGGACTGCTAGGACAAACTAGGAATCCCATGAATAATGAAATTTAATCAAGAACTATATGTACACGAACGAACGTGTTGTATTTATAATTCAAAACCAGGCAGTCATCAAGTACAAAGAAACCATTAGTTCATACAAATACCACATATCTGGATCAACAAAAGTATCTGATGGCCAGTGAGTAAGACATATGCGTGTATTAAAGGACATCATCATCAAGAAACAACAAGTCTTGTCTCGGGAATCATTGACCACGCTCTTTCATTGTCAATAATAAATAAAAGTGAATATGTTGGTGATTAGTTTGCTCACTAAACTCGATGAACTGTTGAAGGCAGTAGTAAGCGAAAATGATTCAGTTTTCCTGTCCCAATAAGATAGTCCTTACCCGCCATCATTAAGTGTTTTGGTAGTAAAGTACTTGTAATTGCCATAAATTCGAAGTGATTCTTGGGTTGTTTATTTGTCTAAGTGAATTAGGAGTGTTGTGGCCCTAAATCTAACTCCATTCGGATTGTATGAATGATTGTCATCGAAATACACATGTCGGCTATCCTCGTATATAATCATCAACTTAATCAATATTAGTGAATAATGAAAACAAATAAGTCAAATATGAGAATGGATTTTGAATATGTATATTTCATGCGCTCATTGGTTTGAACAAGAAATCAAGAAGACGAAACAAAGAGGGAAGCAGATTGAAAAAGACAAGCGAGACATAAATACCCAAACAGAAATCTGTTACAGATACATCATAAATAGAATAAGTAATTAACACACATAGTCATATAAAGATAGGGTAAATAAGGTAAGGGAAAGGTTAAAATGTGGCTTGAAAAGAATGAGTAGATCGGTCTGTCCAGAAAGTAGAATAGCCCATGTAAACAACAGTGTATTTGTGAACGATAATCAGTGGGTCTTTTTGTGTTCACAAATCAGAAAATTAAAAGGTCACGTTTCTTTGACAATTTTACAGGTAATAATATTGTTTGTACATATTGAAGGAATTGAAAATGCAAACATTACCAAAACTAATTACAAAAAAATCTACTTAATCTAACCCTCACAGAAGAAACTTGAGTGTTCCATGAAGCAACAGACTTGCTTCCATACAATTGGCAGTGACAAATCTGCTTAATTTTTTGGTAGTTTAGAGTCATTTTTACTAACAACCAGGCAGTCACTAATCTAAGTATGCAGCTGATTAATGGAATTGTGCTTGGAAGCATGCTTTTAAACATGCAGTATGAAATGTATGGTGTCCTAATTCGAAGAACGAACTAATTTGTTGAAAAGGTGTCTTCGAGGTGAAAATGAACTTCCAGTGACTACTTTAGCTTGCTGAACGTAAAAGACTACCAGTATATGCACAACCTTCCAAAAACTAAGAGCTTCTTTGTCAATAGCGAACCGAATAGCTGTCGTCCTCAGAACTATGATAAGCGTTATGGTTAAAATATTGTTTTCGTTTCCTTCAGCGATGTGCTGGCAGGTGCCTTCCTACAACTATTAGAATTAATATTTATAGTTTGAATAACAATTGAAATATGGAAGAACTAGATAATCACTTCGTACTAGAAAGACTCCTCACTAGCGTTCATTCAGAAACCCACACCCGGAACTCGAATCCAAACCTTGTGTCGCGCGCGAACACTTAACCTCTGGATCACTGAGTCGGAATACAAGTGGTATGTCTAAGATTAGTTCTTCAACAAACCTCAGAAATCGGTAGAAAAAACGATAATCATAACAGCGAATCCAACTATGTTACGAAGATTAGTCAGTTTTGTGAGCATTGAGCATGTTAGTGTTTCAGATAGCTGGACAATCAAATTTTAACCTAAATTTAGACGCAATTCTTACTGTAACTGTATATTCCAGTCACAGGTAACTTCCATACACGTACCAGATGTTGTTTACAATTTAAATACCGTTCCCTCAAAATGCTACAACGGGAAAGACTAGTGTTATCCAACTCTCTTGTGAATGTATACCGGCTCAAGAGAAGCAAAGTTTAACGCGACACTCGACCCAGGCGTTATTGTAACAGTCCCGCATATTCCTTTCAACATCCATATATTTTTACGTTCATCGTACAGACAGACTACAAACGTGATCAAGAAATCCAAAGTATTGATGCTAAGCTCTGACTGCAAAATTTTAACGGAGATTAGGTGAATCCCAATGTTCTGCACTCAACTATCCTTGTTCACGAAAAGGAAATATATAGATCTTTGTCACTTTATAGAACAGAATGTAAGTGTTCGTGTACTCGCAATAAGATTGGTGACTTATATTTATGGTCATTAGTATCTTAATAAGCTGATATGACCTAACAACTACATACCGAAAGCCAACTATAACTAAAAGGTTTACAAACTAAAATTTACCCTGAACTTTAGTTGAGACATTTCGACCCAAAAATTTAGGGTAAAATTTAACAAACAAGCAGAAGTGTTTAATACCTCAACTCAAACAAATATCGTGACAATCGACTTACATTTGTTGCTTGTCTGAATATCTCTGCTTCAGTTTCGTTATATACGCGTAAAAGACAATTCAGTCCAAAGACATTATGAGAAAACTTAACTTATAGTGATTGAATCTCGATTTACTTTGATGTAGGTAATGTATGTCTCTGAAACCTTTCAAAAGTTACTGCGCTGTCAATTTAGACTGAAGGATTAAGTTTGGATGCCAGTTCAGTAACTTCACTTTGTAAAACCTAGCTAAGAGAAAACTAATCAGAAAGGACCACTAAAATTGTTGTGTGAAAATTGAGGGGTCTTCCATTGGCTGAGTTATGACACTTCATGGCACTGAGCAAGACTCTTCGTAAGCCACAAGCCTAACGACCAAAACGACAATTAGTGTCGGCACGTGAATTGTACGGACGTGGGTTTCACAGTGATCTGAATAAGAGTGTAAATAATAGGACTTTGGTCCACCTGAACTAAGTGAAAGTGTTTGGACGCAATCTATACAAAAAGGCGTTGCATTAATGCTTCCAATAGAAGCGTAAAACGAATTAATGGAACTGGAAACTCACAGCTTTAGTATCGCCTTGCTGAGAAAGAGAAAAGGTGTAAGACCCTTTTGGTATGTTTTTGTGTGTTAAAATCTAATTTTGTGTTGATAATTCTTTATCTTTCCTCAACATTAAAAATGATTAGGTATTCATAAACAACTGTCTGTGCAAGATACTCCAAACTCATTGGCGAGACAAGCAGTAACCAATGCTGAGAGAACAAGCCGGTTGAGGAAGAAATTAGGGAGAGATTATGGAGGTGGACGGAACAAACTTTACGGTACACATCATCAAAAGGGGAACCCCAACTCAGAGTTCTCAAAGTAAAGCAATAGAGACAAGACCCAGAAACATATGACCCTGGAAATTGGCGGAAGACATACAGGCTATGAATATTACTTGGGAACAACTTAAAACGAGAGTCCACAGTGGAGCTTATTGAGGATAACTGATGGGTAGCTTTTGACCAATGACAGGTAGCACGTCTAAGTGGTCAAGTAACTTTTTATATGAAGTATAGAATTATTAATGAAATTATATTCGGTATAAAAAGTAGTCAAAGAGGAACCAACAACAGGTTGAAGCAATTCGGGTGAAAAGACACACGTGAAATCTTTACATAGAGAGGTTTCGCAGGATTAATTTGAGTGCATAAATACAAAGTTAGTCCATGACATCTGAAGTGCCCATACGATGGGTGACGTGATGCATTGTTTTAGGGTAAGAACGCCTGGATGGTAGACCTGCACGTCCTTTTCCCTGTGTACTGACTGGACCCAAGTAGGGGAGGAAGCATGAAGTTTCTTCATAAACTTGAGTCCGAAAGAAAGGCTAGAAACGGAACATGAAAGGATGTGGTGATTCGTTTGATAATAGTATCATGTGGCACGATGACATGAGATAAAACATCCAAGACAGAAAAAACGCAAACTATTAATTTGAAATATGTAAAGAATTAATACTAACGGAGAATATTTTATCTTGCTAAAAAAATAATACTCATAGTTTAGGTAACAGGTCGCACATAATTTTATGTGCGACCTGTTACCTAAACTACAAACAACAGAACCAAAAGATATAAATATCATTTGGGAAGTAAAAAGCATGGTGCATAACATATTATACAGTATTTCAAAAGGTACTGGTTACACATTAATGCGTATTTGGCAAGTCTAATATTATAGGAATCATTTTATGTCGCGTAAGTATTTACATTCTTTGAACAGAAAAATCAAAGGTAAGCGGTAAGGAATGACTACATGGTATTATGAATCAAACTTCTTTTATATAAATAAGAGATAACAAACCCAGGTGGTGAATGAGAAATGCGAGAATAACAAAACAGACGGTAGACATTTCTGAAGTTACTACTGACTAACTCCATCCACTTAACATCAGGTCAACAAGTTGAAATTTATGATGGCTGATACATACGATATCATTTAAAGTTAGGAAATAATAATCGAAGTAATAATCCTGGTAGACGAGTGTGTGTTAGGAGATAAATTAGTTTCTAAGCGCATAAGCACATTTATTAATATGGAGATCAAAATATAATCTTTTGTATGAGTGGGACTACTCAAATAAAAGTGATTAGAGTGACTAGAGAAATCTAATGATGGACATTTTCCTGAATATTTCACTTTCAAAATGTTACCAGAAGTGAGAGTGAACTACCTGCATAATACGTAACACAATGTACTGATAATGAATGTCGCAGTTAAGGATACTAGATGCAACGTGGAATCACGAGCTGAAAGAACAACATATTTTTACAGATTGATTATTAGGTTTGCAGGAGGATACCCCATAAGCTTTCTATTTGCTTAAACAATGATGCAAGCAAGCAACTGAATACGTTTTAAAGTTATGAAAATAAGTTTTTTTAAAAGAAGGGGATTATAGGATGCAAAACATTTGTACATTTATACCTGATCTAGGAAAAAACAATTGGGTAAGTTGACATTACCACGTAGAATTCCTGTCACTTTTAACAAATCATCCTCCGAAACACCAGTCGTTAAATAAATTACACCAGCAGTAGGATCAACAGCGCGACAAATGGCTAAAAAATGTTTGTAATCAATAAGAGAATAACACAAACCTCGGTTCTTTAAACAGCAGTACGTATCATTAAGGTTCAAAAAGTATTAACAGTAAACCCATAGACAAGTGATTCGGATATTTAAATAACCGCTGTTAGAGTTATTTATAATCAGACAGATGAATCTAAAACATTTTCGAACTAATCATAACTGAACTAAATGGACTTAGACTGTAGAATTTCTTTCCAACCTCATTTGTCTACTTTGACTGTGAAAGTATTTAAAACAGAAAACAATATAGTGACAAACGGAGAACATCACTGCACATAATAACTTGTTAGCTAATTTTGTCGTTTACAGGTTGTTATAGTAGGTCTAACCAGTTTGAGATAACTAGATAAAACGAGGCTTGAACTCGAAGAAAACTAACAAAGCATATAGCCTAGACACTTCAGTTTTAAACAGAGTAAATCTGAGTTTGATATGTTGCTATTTCAAATCATACTGAAATACAAATGTTTCGGGATATTTTTAAAACAAAGCTATTCTCGTGAGCACAGTATAGACGTTCCATTTATAAATGGATAGAAAAAGAATTAGACAAAGTCATGAAACAGGAACAGAAACAATAAGCACGAGTTAAGATATAAGATCCTAATAGATCTAAATACTTCAGACTAGGGTCCACCTGGAAGCAATTTCATTTAAAATATCTTCTTGCACAATAATTATTACCAAATGCCATAACGAATGTAATATAAGTCCAAGTGACTCGATATTGTGTGGAAGAAGTCAAGATGTCAGGTGGTTGGAGGCAGTCGATAGGAAATAGCACGCCTAGATTTCATGTCAGTTGGGATTCGTCAACACGGTACGGTTGTAATCTTAAGGACTAGACAAACATGGCGATGATGAGTGATGAGTAGTCAATTGTAGATATTTCAGCCCTACAGGACAGTCGAGACCCGAATAGCTCAGTGGTTAAGTTGTAGATTGTGAAGTTGAGTGAAGCAGATTCGAATAACTTATGGAACATTGGTTCCATCAAGCCTATAGACATACCATGCTGACGAGTGTTAAGCAGCACGAGACCTATGTCGAGTAAATCCTGTAGACTACCTCCGACCACCTAATAATGTTGAGAATGTATTCAAAAATGTGACTTATGATGAAAGAAATAATGTAACTAAATAATCAGAAATGGATTTCACTTCCATAAATCGAATTGACAAAACGTAGGAGCATATTTTTAAATATATATACCATTGAACTGATGTTAGCTGTTAAAACACTGATAAATTTCATGAGGAACTGTAATTAGAATGCTTTACATTACTTATAATGAAAACTGACAAAGAATAAGTATGTCCATCAGTATCATTTTCATGTTATACCATAAACTTGATGTATATAAAAATTTACAACTCACCTAGACCTACACAATCACAAACCGGATTAGATGATATCCAACGATACATGCAAGTAGAATCTGGTTCGGTTATCTACAAAATAAGGTAAAATATTGAACCACAAAAGTATGAAATCGAACGAAAATGAACCTAGCTGATGAATTAGATTAAGTCGGCGTTCATCAAATCACCGATAGTCAGTCAAATGAAACGCAGAATCTATGTGGTGGATTATATTTGAGATAAATCTTTAGACTTCGTACATTAATTGCCCTGGTAACCGTTATAAAATAAATCCAAACGATTTACAAATTCAGCATGCAACAAGAAGTGCCAACTTAGGTCTATTATTGAGCGGTACCGATCCCTAAGGCATAAGCACACAAAAAGAAACGCTAATGAAAGCGAGTGAGCTAATGCAGAGGCGAATCAAGCATACATGTTCATACAAACATGATAATAATACCAAGACAAACAAATTGCTACTGTTAGAATAAAACTATCTGTTAAATAAGTTAATTGAAGGGATTTAAAAAAATTAGACGTTAACAAACTTAAGCGTAGGAGAGAAGCTACACCTAGCACATAGTACCCAGTTTAATTTGTCACACTACTAATAAGATGATATTCAATACGTGTAACCTATAAAATAAAAATGACAGTTAGCTGGTATTCACTACTTTCATTGATAGGACATTACATATGTGATCAGCTAACCTGTACATCGACTTAAATAAACTGTCGTTAGCTAATAAATCATATTTTATTTTTCTACTAATAGTATTTTTTAAATTAAACTTTGTTAGAATATTAGATGACAATAGATGTGCATATTAAATGATTAGTCTCGTGAAATGTAAATTTATTTATACAAATTTTGTTTACAGTAAATGAAATAGATGTTAATCACATTTTCTCTGTACTTCAAAGGCTTACAACTTTAGACATTATGGGAATAACGTTATGGTTAGACAATTATAGATAGAGATCAAATAATAGGAACTTGACTATTTATAATAAAATGATGAGATGATATGATTAATTTTTCAAGAGTTGATTGTTGTTTAATACCGTAATTCCCTTGATTAATCAACAACAAAAAAGAGGATTCTCAAATTGAATCTGTCAGATGAGGGATTGTACCGTGTATTTGAGACATGGACGAATATCCAGAAATTCATTCACAATAAATGTTAAAATGTAAAGTATAATTTAAACAAGTAAGTATTCTGGTTAATTCCTCCCATTAGGTCTTACAGTTACAAAGAATTAAATCACTAGACCTTATAATGAAAAACTTTTACTACAGAGCATATGATTAATGTAAAATATGGTAAAGAAATCATAGGAAATATCACATCTTAGGTGATTATTATTAAATATTAACAAAACAAGGAAAATGTTATATATTTTGCCCGATTAATCATCATGTATTAAGACTGCCAATCAGAATACGGCTTATACAATCTTAGCACTGTGTCAAACCAATGACGCATTGACCGATACGAGCAGCCTAGAATGAATCTTGAATTCTTATTGGTCCTTCTCTCCCAGCCCTGTCCATTTGAGTTCGAAACACAAATCCCAGCTCCCACTGTATGAGTCATATATTTGACACACACCGGGTTTATATACAAACAAACCAGACTGCATCATACCGTAAAATAGAAAATAACAATTATGCAACATCAATTCAAAAAGTGGCTGTAACTAATAAATTAGGAATAACTTAAGAATAATAGATAGTGTAGTAGTAGTCAATAGGTCAAACGGGAGCTTATAATAAAAGGAATATGAATATACATGTAATATAGTTACTCAATAGTTATACAATAAGAATATATGTATAACATTAGTTCACAAATAATTCCCAGACGTTACCATTCATTTATACTTCGTTAGGATATAACAGAAAAAACTAGTTTAGGATTTATTCAATCGAACTTTATTGTTACGATAAGGAAATTTAAAGCAAATTTCCACGAACAATGATTTAAAATATAAACAGTCGTATAAACAAATGTAAGGCAAACTAATTTATTCACTTTGTTAATTACATTTTAATGACAAGAATGATTGACTAGATGTGGTAAGTTTGTGGTTTCAACCAGTTCGCACAAGAAAACGATAAAGGCAATATGATGAATAAAACGATTTTAAAACTTAAACTTACACAGACACAAGAGGGAATTATAAATCATTGGAAAGCAAACGACCGTTAATAATTAAAGCATAAATATATAATATTATATATTACGGATGTATTTATATATGCAGAACTTACATTATGTTGTGGTACAATGCAAAGGGCAACTAGGGTAGCATTTAAACAAGCTAATAAACTATCGACACTTGATGGAAAAGCGTAATTTTCTGCAAATAGATTACAATCTGGGCGCATTATTCGAAAGGCCAAATGATTCGAATCATTCTTATCAGTGGATAACGAATCAATTTCTAATGTGTCGTGCTGAATATCAAATGTAGAAACAGAGCTACTGAGTATTACATTTTTTTGTTCATTTACGTTTTCACATGTATCTTGTTGTTTAGATGGAACAGTAACTGGAACTTGGTAAGGGATACAATCCAGCAGATGTGCTACTGGATGTCCAAGAGGTTCATCTTTTAGTCTAGAAGGTAAGCTAGTATATGCACAGGCCAAAGTGGACATAAAATAAGTCAGCATCATTAAATCGCGATGATCAGGAGGACCAAGATTGTACCGTGGGTCATCTATTGTATTACACTTGTATCTATAACAATATGTACAGAAAATGAAGGCTGGAAATAGTTATAACCCAAATTTAGTGTATATCAACATAGATATCATTTATGCATTAACAATAGTGCATCAGTGATTCATTAACGAAAACTTATTGTAGGCAACACATCATATCAACGTGAAAACTTAAAGTAAGAGGAGGAACTGAAGAGGACTATTACCAAAAAATTAAAATAATAAATAGGTTACTGGTCTGAAAAAAAATCAGTGCATAATCTATAGAGTTTACACGGGTGATATAACCTTAAACAAAATTTTTCTTACCAAATTTATACAAACAGGTTTGTGTTAAAAGCAATAATCTAACTACACTGGTTGTTTCAAACACGAACATTTTATTTCTCACTCAAGAATTTATATTAGCTATTTCACCACTGTATTACTGTGGTGCGTACTTTAGATGAATGGAGATTTTTTAAGACTAACATCGTGAAAATGTACAGTATTATAATCTTGTAGTCGGAAATATGATGAAAACTGGCTGACTAGTCGCGCGAAATATCTTTGTTACCGATGTTATTCAAACCTAGGAGTACCTAATATACGGGAGATTCGAAAGTTTATAAAATGATATACGAAAAGCATATTGGCGAGACCGTAAGTTATGGAAAAACCAATCAGATTTACGATAACTGGTCTTCGATTTCGACGCGAAATTCTTTATCCGTCTGGCTAAATAGCGTCTTGGCATTTTAGCTGATGTCAGTCTGTGATGAAAACCCTAAATCTAATTCCTATTCTCAACCATCAACTGTAAATCAAAATCCTTATCCTTTAAACAGATTTAAAACCCTCATTTAGCCATAATCAGTAGGTGGATATTCTCAAGACCACTTTTAGCGTCGCTCAAAGGTCGTCCATAAGTTATAGTCTCACCAATACATCTATGAACGTATATGAAATATGAGTGTTTATCTGTCTGAAAGGACAGAAATAAATATGCATCATACATTTAAATCATGAATAATAAAACATTTATGGATTCTAGGACAACGGACATTTAGACCGATACATTTCATCTTAGGTTACAATTAAATATCAATCTAAACAACCTTTATATCTCTAAAAGCAATCACCATGTGCTTTAAACAACAAAATAACTATCGTCACCTGATGATCATTTGTACGTTTTTCCCAGTGGGATTATCTAGATTGATATTGACAAAAAGTAGCATTATTGCCAATATTATTAAACATATTTCCTCACGGGCAATAAAGATTCTGTAGTTTATTTAAAGAAAATTATACCAACTTGTTAAATTAAATAAGTCTTCAGAACTACTGACTTGAGTAATGACGAGTTGAACAAACTAATAACTAATTTCCTATTCTGGTTGTTGATAGGCTTGAAAATGAACTGTTATGTAGTGAAGTAGGAGAGTTTAGTTAACAATAAACAAACGACCAACAAATCAAGTTATGGTAGAAAAGATAGTTGATGATTACTGCACTTAATGATATTGAAACCATCATACTTAAGAACTGAGAAAAATGATTATCTAATGTCTAAGAACGGTTTGTTAGTTATAAGCAATATAGAACCTAGCGTTTATGTGGATCATTTCAAGTTGTCACACCACACCACAACATGTAACAGTTATATAAGTAGTGACAGTTTTAGTGGTATTAGAAAAGATTAAGCATAGAAGATATAGTTTGACAAGAAAATATAGATTTGTGGAGTAAATTTTCCTTCCAGATATTTATGAAACTTAAGATCTAACGGAAGACAAAAGAGTGGATGCAACTCCATCATTCTGACCAATTGTATGTCATGTCACTCAATGTTTCTAGTCATTAACGAATATGATCGTTCAAACCTCAAACAAATAGTTTGTACCTACTTAAACGTCTTACTCCATCATTCAATAATTTCATGGACTGATGACACATTTGGTTTGACACTCCTAGCTTCCTTATAACTTACTCCTGTACCAGCCATCATTGAGGTAGGCAGTAGTTGGCCATACGTAATACATGTCCCATTCACATCAGTCGATAAATATTCAGTACTTCACTAATTGGCTTGTGACCCTTACCTAGTAACCGGCGTCTAACCCCAACATTACTTACTCAGTGGTCCCAATACACACAAGCAATACTTCGAAGGCATCGATGATCAAATACTAATAAACGACGGATATACTTTCTTTTAAAGGCTATACTTTCCAGCCTTGAAATATAATAGAAGGAACTGCTGTTCGGTGTAGTCGTTCTTTGATTTGTAGGTAGAAGTTTCGCCAACGCCACATAGTTGTTGCTACATTGACGTGGTGGTCGGGCCTGCCTATCGTGATGAAGCAACCGAGCTATACTGGCTTGAACAACCGTTCCTCAAGGTCTTACCATGTCAGACAGGTCGGTTGAAGAGCGGTAAGACTAAAAGCAACAAACCCAAGGTCCGAAGTCGAAGTCGTACTGCTGACTGTACAGAGGTGTGACAGCAGTAAGGTGTTTCCTTCAGACAACCAGCATGTCAGCGACGCTGCCTTTCCACAAGGAGGGGTGGGGTTAGAAAAGGTCGACCCTAAAAATGCACACCTCGCTTTATCCAACGGATATCCGTCTCCGGCGGTAAAGTCTCAACAAGTACGGAGCTAACGCAAAAATTACTCATAAAAAGGTCGTGTGTGACCGAAGTCAAGCAGTTGTCCCTTGGGCACTGCGGTCACGCTCTCAGGTCACTAAGACCACCTCTAATCCAATTTCCTTTTCAGTTACCTCTACAAGAACCCTTCCACGGTGTGGGCAACCGGGAAGTGATAACCGCCCTCATACTTCTAACAGCACTCAAGACCCACTGACTGACTGAACGCCACATAGTGAGAACGGCTAGTCGGGTTTTGCGATTCCGTGCTGAGATTTTATCAGATACCAACCAACAAGGGCTGAAGTGACCTAGAAGTGAAATGGTCGACACGTTCAATTAATTTACTGTCTTTCGCTAGTTTAGGCGTTGGCGGCCGAGAGTAGGGGGAGTCCGCTCTCTCTCCCGAAATGCTCTCACATAGCCACGCGTATATAGCCTTTGCCAGGTAAGTCCTACTCACTGCCTTCTCGTGGTGGTGGGGGGGTTGTTTACGAAATTCAGAGGACGAAAAGCGAATGTCCGGCGCTTTAACCGGATTCCAAACTAATGGTGCACATGGGCTCCACTATCCTGCGGAAACAAATGGCGTATGAACCAATTTTTGGTCACCGGCTTCCGTGGGACCTCATCTCCTTACGATGCTCCACTACCTTGTGGATCAGACCCTCAGGTCGAAGGCTCGGGGAGTGGCCCCCTGAGAAAACCACCTGCTTCGGTTTGGGCACCCGGGCAGTATCACAGCCCTCACACCTACCGAATGAGATTTGTGTGGCGTTTATGTATTTGGTGCCTCTTTGTACCAATATCTATATGTTGAAATAAATAAATAAATAAATTAGGGGTTGGCGAAGATCATTCGTAAAACAGTATCGTAGACAACAGAAATTTAATTAACCAACTTTCATAATTATAGCTGGAGTCCTTGAATAATATCGACAAATGAAACATCCATGTAGTTAATTTACGATTTGCGCTACTTACTAACCAGTTAAAGAATCGTGCACTTAACTTTAAACCATAATCTTGATCTGGTAGTATTCAGATGCCCAGACCATAATAGGTGACAAGGTTCCAAACTACAACTCAGTGCTTTATGGTCAAAAGTAACAAGTAGACAATAACCATACAACTTTACACCTATTAAGTCAATCCTAGAAAACACAAATTCATATATGAATCAGATGATCAACATTAAAGTAAATAAAATAACCAAGTGGAGAACTCCTAAAAAATTACACTCAACACAGAGTAATGACTGTAACAAGTCAAAATGTTTGGCAAGAAAAACAACCTGACAAGAAGAACATAGAAGGCAGATGTATATACTGGATACCTTCAATGTCTAAGACTTTGAAAAACATCACTAGCTATCAGTAGTAAACTAGCTAAAAGATTATTATTGACAATCTATTTACAATAAAAATTGCATAACAAAGGTATATTTTTGCATATTAATATTAATTAATAAATTTCAAAAAATATATATATAATCTACACAATCTATCTGGTCTAAAAATCGTTTGATATCGTTACAAAGATATATATATATATATATATATATATTACTTCAACCCAATTTAAGTAATCTGGACAGTAATATTACTAATAGGAAACTAACAATCAAACAGATTATGTATAGAATAAGAACGGGATCAATGCAGAATATGTTGTAGTCATACAAAATAATGAAAAAATTCGTTAAAAAATATATGTAGAGGAATTAGTTTCAAAGTATATTTAGTCAAAAAAATATCAATCATTGATATGACAATCATTACTTAAAATGAAACACTTTTATACAATGAATGATTATAACACAAATATATTTATTGAAGTTTAACCTAGGTTATATACATAGACAAATAACCTTAAATACCAATCAACCATTAATATATATAACATACAGTTTGACGTCAGATTCTATAAGAATCACATCATGATTAAATGTTTCGTTGGAAATGTCCTATAGAAAAAAGAAAATAGCAAAGTTAACATTACGAATAACAGGAAATGTATTGTTAAAATTTAAATTTAAATTATTACTATTATTTAGGCGTGAACAGTAACCTGAAATGATAGATTGTAAGATACTACATCACATAGAGGATAGAGAACATTAAGAAGCATAATAGATGAAACAACCTGTTAGACGCAATAAAGATTTTGGATCATATTTGTTGATTTAACAACACAAATCCTGGTACAATAAGGCACCAAAAAAGCATCAAACAAATGAAATATTTTCGTCAAAAAATAAGAGAGAAACAGTAATCAAATCGATAAATAAAAATGCGGTTTAATTAAAGATACAGCCAACAAACACATCAGTTAAGACTCAACCTACTTTTATGAGTATGATAGAAAACTACAAGATTGATATTCACTTCTATTCTGAACCATGTCATATAACATCTTGAATAACTAAATCGCACCATCTCTTTGATCTAAACAAAAAAGTCGTGATGGATTGGTAGATCGCGATCCTAAGTAGCTTTCTTTCATACCACAATGACATTTCGCAAACTGATTACCCGTTCACCTTTACCACTAAATCCCAGAGTCACTAGATGATGTACGGTATGGAAGTCACTGGCATGACATTCGTGAGACATATTCAAGCAACCAAAGCTGATGTTCCAAGATGACGACATAATTTGAGCTGTCAACAATGCTCCCTGAACACAAATTACCGAATCACAGCATTAATAAAGTAGTGTTGCTACTTGAGGTCAGAAATCATTTGGAGAAAATGGTAAGCGCATACCAGACCCCCCCTATTATTCTTAGATCGGGTAAACCAGGTTCCGAAATCACACTACGAAGCTGTAAACCAGACATTTTACGGCTAGACTAACATCAAGACGCCACCAAGATGATAAAGACTAGGATAATTTCTTTTGGTTTCTACTATATATAGGTTGACCTCACCTGTCTCTCCATCATTAGCAATCACACATTTAATCGAATAAACGAATACATCATCTATTTTCAGTGGTCCATAAAAAAAAGTGGAGCTAGACAAAGGCCTCTACTGATCCCACAGTTCGAATACTAGATGCGGCGGAATGGAGATGTGAAAATATATTAGTGCACTGGTTTATGATTGAATTTTCATTGTTTTTTAAGAATATGTTGCCGATAAAGAGCTCTTTCTGTTTCCAGCCTATTGCTCCATTTTAATTGCTAACAATAAGAATGTAGTATACTGTCTTGATGTTTAATGGGAGAAGTAGAAGTTGTGGTTCACCAGTCTATAGGGACTTGAGAGTTAATCTATTGGTCGCGGTTTTAAACTCTATTCCATTAATCAGGGTTTGGTAGGAGTATATATCATACCGGCTCTAGCACAATAAGCATAGTTTGAAGATCCATCTTATTCATATTCATGAATGCCTGGAACAATCGGAAAAACCGGTGAACCCATTGGTATACCTTCTTTTTTTCTGTAAAGGTCTCCTCGAAATATCAATAAGGTGGATCTTAAACATAATTCCAAGAATTTCATGACCTCAGATGGACCTAATGGGCATCGTAAATTCAAATCGGATTGTAGTGAATCTATTAATGCATTCCCTAGAAACCAGTGCAATCTTCAGGAGTGTGTGTCCTACAAAGGTCTGGTTACGGTATGTAGACGATATTTTTATTATCATTAAACGCGATGGTCTTGAAGAACTGTTTGAAAATGTAAACATTTCGGAGAGCATAAAGCTAAAGAAGAAAATAGAATCCGTTGACCACAAACTAGCGTTTCTCGATTGTTTGGTTGGACGAAGATATAACAATATTAGGTTGAAAATAAATGTGTTCAGGAAGTCAACACATTCTGAAAGATACTTAGATTTTGGTCCGCCTCATGCGCTGTGTACGAAAGTCACTGTTGTAAAAACTTTAATTAACAGAAGTATTAAGCTCGTTACAGATAAGAAAGACCAACAAGTTGAACTGAATAGTTTTGTCTATACTTAGGGATAACAACTATCCAAAAAAGTTCTTAAAGAAGATTATTAGAAATGAAAGAAAATTTAAACTAGAATGTATACTGACAGATTGGAAGTTCACCGTGGTCATTCCATACTGTAGTAAAACATCGGAAGAAATCAAGCGGATTCTAAACAAACATGATGTAAGTGACACCATAAGATCGGCATCAGTGAATGTTAAGGATAAGTCCTCAAAGGAAGAACAAAATATTGTCTATGAGATCAACTGTCATGATTGTAATTCAGCTTATGTGGGGGAAACATCCAGACAATTGAATGTAAGGTTGAAGGAACGCAAACAGTGTTTGAAATATATTCCCAAATCCACGGTTGCCTTAATAAAACTTGTGAATAAGTCTGTGATAGCGTTACATGCGTTAGAAACAGGACACATAATTAATTTCGAAGGGACCAAAATGCTTCAGGAAGGTTTTAACTCATAAAGAAAGATTGACAGCAGAAGCACTGTATATATGGGCGAACAAGAACAGCCTAAACAGAGAGGATGGTATTCAGCTGGCAACTACTTGGCAAATATTAGCTATCAAGTAACTGTATCCATTTCTTTATTCAACCTGTTTATTTCACTTGGATCATTATATACTTCTTTGATGATTTTGATTACTACCCTGAAGAAGTCTAGACAAGTTGGCTGGACGAAACGTTGGGATTATTTAAATTTCAATCGCTGAGATTATTTCAAATATAATTTTCATATATAATGACATCTATACATACTATTAAGTAAATAGAACTGACGACCTAATGACAAAGAAGTACATGGAAATCGATAAGACCAATAATTACTTTGAGAAGCCGACAGAAAATATCAAATGTCTGTCATATATATATATATATATATATATATATATATATATCGGAGTTGATTTCAGGTGTTTAGATGAAACAGATGTCCCTATCATAGGGCAGAAATTCAGAATCATTTAGTAAACTGAGCCCAAATTATCTACTCACAAGTTCAATGTACGAATCATGTGTATCTTACTAAAAGACAACTTACCCGTGAATTCCAGGTGTCCATAGTTTTTAATGAACTACTATTTAGATCTGGAGAGTTTGTGCGATTATTTGAAGATCCCGTTGTACGAAGCTGAATGATCAGGTCTGGTTTAACTAAGAGTATTTGTTCTAACAGCAGTGTTAATCCAAGCCCTGTGAGTAAAACAATAATGACATTTTATATACATAGCATTTGAACAAACTTATTTTGAACATTACACTTGATATCAGTTTTAGTTATTTAGTATACTAAACTTATCTGCTTCGGCTTGGACACCCGGGCAGTATCCTAGTCCTCACACAAGTCGAATAATTTATGAGGGTCATATCTATTTGGTGCCTCCTTGTACCAATGTTTGTATTTAAATACATAAATACATTAAACTTAGTACAACTGGCAACAGATTGGAGCGTTTGACCTAAAGATCTGATATCCACGAGGCAGTGGAGAAATGTCAAGCGATGCAATCTTATTGTAGCCGATGACAAACAATCGGTTCATATGCCATTTGTTCTCTCAGAATCCTGGAGCCCATGTGCACTACTGGTTTGGAATTAGGGTTTTCTAACTCCTTTAGGTGGATCCTCCATATCCACCAATCCGGTTAAAGCTCCGGACATTTGCTTTTCGTCCTCCCGATTTCGTAAACAACCTGCTACGAGAAGGCAGTGAGTAAGACTTCCCTGGCAGAGGCTGTATGCGCGTGATCATGTGAGATCATTTGAAGGGAGAGCGGACTTTCCACACCCTCGGCCGTACCAGGGCATTTGGAAGCTTTTGTGTGGTATATCAGGGTTCTTAGGTAATGGATTGTGCTGTGAATGACAATAAAGTGTTATAAATATTGATAAAAACGGCCTGCGAATGTCAAACGTACCGACTGAAGACTGTTTACTTAGATGACGATGGTCAGGTTACGAAGAAACACTAGATTTTCCTAATCAAAATGCATAGGCGGAAACATTTGCATTTTGTTTAACGGTGGGTCTTGTAATTATACTTAAAATTTCTGTAGAATCACTGACGTCGTCCAATAAAGTATTTCAGAGAAAAATTTATTTAGATATAGGCATCGCGATAAATACCAAAACAATAGTTTTTGATTAACGGTGACTAAAAACATACCTTGCATCCAGCCCATTGTATTGACTAGTAAACGCGGCTTTGGTTCAGGTAAATTAACGTAGGCATCATATACAAAGTTGAGGCATTTCAAGTAGAAACTGGGATCATCAGAGGGTGTAATGCAACCGACAAAACACTGACTAGAATATAATAGATAACCACAGATTCACATGGATTCAGAGATGAGGATGAACGATTTAAAAACATCAAAACGAAGAACATGGGAGATAGAATATTTTAATGCTTAGACTAGGTACAAGACAATCAGAATAATTACCTTCACATGCAACGTAAAATATGTACAAAAAACTAGCAGAGACCAAAGATGATAGACAGTAACTACTTTATTTGGAAATTACTGGAACATTGGACTGAAATGAACCTAAAGACAAACGATGAAAAGGTTTTTCAGAAGTGGAAGCATCACTGTATCGTCTAGATGATATAATTTTGATTCCAAGCACAAATTATATAAATTATCTTACTGAAACTTGGTCGGTTGGAACAGCATGAAGCGTGGTATTTTTTATTACAACATACCACAGCTTGATTTCAGGGAATCGTATCTTTATGTATTTGGGCATTACAGCATACTACGAAGAGCCAATTATGTTTCACGAAAGTATGATGATCCTATCAACTAGATAAAAACATCAAATAATGACAGACTAAATTCAAAGACTGCATAGAGGGTCTGTAAATTATTTTTGCCCTCAAATATTAAGACCCTGTCTGTCATTCCAGAAACAGGAAGTGTATATGTGTATGATCACGGAATTCGATACAAATGTGATCTCGAAATGTAAAGTCACCTGATGAAATAAAAACCAAGGTGTGAACGACAAGGATTTTATGAAGTGTCAGCTTAGCACTTAACCAGTAGACATTATCACTCTATAGAGTTTGTGGAAAGTTTCAGATTAACATCTATTTGGTATTGATCTAAATTAATGCCCAAACAAGTGTGGCGCGTTAAAATCACCATTAATTATGAACTACAAAAAAATCAAATTATTCGACTACAGGTGACTACAAATAAGGGATAATGGGGAATACATTAGTATAAATGCACTTTAGATTGGCAGCATTCACGTCGTGCTTAAAACACCACCAATTGCAGTTTCAAGGTTATATCGAGAACTTACCGGAGAATATTTACATTAGTGGATAAAATATGAGTATACGGAGGACCAAACAGTGGCAATTTGACTAGACACAAACTAATAATTCCATTCGGAGTAAATTCAGGTTGCCCAATATCACAATCAAGAACTGCAACACACTTTTCTTTAAGAGGATATTCCACATCTGTAAGGATTATGTTTGATAAAAAACGCAGTAAAGATGATTTTCCAGCACCCTTCGGACCACAAATTAGTAATTTCCTTACATAATCATCACATGGATCAACTACGGGGATGGAGCTGAGTCTCAGTGAAATATGTGAAACTTCTGGTGCGACCTGATATCCAAGGCTCCCATCATGCTCGAGAAAAGTAAATCCAAGTAACTTAGCTAAGGAAGCATTTGGTACAGTGCCTTCTGACGGCAGACGAAACAAAAAACGGAACCGCTTAATCTCAGAAAGTGAGTCCAGGACTCGACTCCGATGAGGACTGAAAAGTAAAACAGTCACATGGTCCCGAAAGATACTCATTTCTTTGCCAAGACGTTCCGTCAAAACTTGAACATCACTTGGATCACACAAACTCTCTAGAGCAACTTTGATTTCGGAAGATTGAAGTCCCTGGGTTGCATCTTTATTTACATTTTTCGATTTTTCGAGTGGGCACTGAGTAATAGATAATGGAGTGTGTGAAGTGGGTGAATAAATATCATATGAGCTGGAAGGATTTGGTCCTATATTTCCTCCCCATATAGTGATCATTGGCCCATATAAGTGAGTAAATCTTGCTTTACCAAAAATTGCGAGGTGTGTATCACAACCAAGTAAAATGAAGCAGGAACATAAACGTCTACTTGACAAGTATACAATTATCTGAGCTCGTTTGGATTTAAACATAGTGACAAAAAGTTTTTGCTTATTCCGATTACTAGTCGTGTCAGTTTCATCGTGAAGATCCTCAGATTTTTTACGCGGAATCTTCTTGAAAGCAAACATGAGTTTTCGACTATTGTTCAAATCCACCTCATTCACACGACCTTAACTAGTTTCATCCAAAGCGGGCATTCTTCAGTTTTCAGTAATACGGATAAGAGGTCTAACGACCTATATTAATCTTTGCATTTTGTAACACTGCAGAGGTTCAATCTTGTTTTGAATATATCAAAGTAACGTGCTGACAATACGTGTTCTGGTAGACAATTCCAGTTATTCACTAAAATGGTTCAAATGGTTGTTGACGGAATAGAAAAAGCTTTGGGAAATGGCACTAAAATCTTAAAATTTCCCCAGAATTGTATTTAAGTTTGGGGAAGTGCATCTATATTTATTAAAAAACCCCAAAATTTCCCCAATGTTGGGAGCTTTGGAATATTCATGATGTGCGACTACCCATTAAATAATGACAAATAAAAATGTCTAGTAATGGTTGTTGTTAATAGGTAATTCTATTGATTCTGACTTTCACTTTACATTTTCTGCTTCAACCCAAGTAATAATAATAATAACCATTATTCTGATTTCAGACAAACAACTTGACAACGATGAATGGCTAATTAGCTTAATTCGAACTTTCATATGATCAAGTATGCACTAAGAGTCTCAGTAATTTAACTTCATTAATAATATTTTGACACATTTGTTTATATCTCTGGCTTTCGTTCCGCATACGGCTATAGATATACATAGTTTCGCGCGCCTCGTGATCCTATTAGCTCACAGGAGCTCAAACTTTACAATTCTTAGAACTCCAAAAAGTGTTTAAAAACTATTCACGATAGAAATGATTTCTAAATGTGAAAATCTAATGCACTACTAGGACGACTTTAAAGAGGCGCGACGTAGCCTCCAGAGTTCCTGAAGCAGTCGAAGTATTTTCACCTAGTCAGAACCCGATGGAGCTTCCTAGAATATCAACAAGGCATATTGCGATTGGACGATAGCATCACTTGCCTCCTTGTGGATTGACTGAACTATAATAATGTTATAGCTTAACAACTATAAATACCCATGCTTTCTACACATTTCTGATTCTTACCCCAGTGATCTCCTCCCCTGTTTCTTCGGTCTTCTGATTTGAGGTCTGTGGGGTAGTACACGTTCGAGTTCCGTTGGTTTTGTATCGCATTCTGAGGTAATCAACTAGAAGACGTACCAAGCGCACTGATAGTCCCCTACTATTATCCGAGTATTTCAATATGATTATGTGATATGAAGTACACTCTTGGATCATAATTATTTTCTGACATTACCAAGAACATGGTAAACTCACCGCTTAACAAGGTGCGGGATAAATGTGGCAAATATTAAGTTCACCACCAAATAATTGATAAAATATCTCCAGAACCTGGATCCATCAGTATTTCCTTTAGAAATAAGGGCTTTTTACTTGAATTTCTTTATTGAATAATGAATGGTAATGAACATGTTTTTACTAACATTTATTGCCACCTTATTGTAAATCTAGTTGCTCAACGACTTCCAAGTAGCTTTTGCCACTCCGAAAGTTTTCGTGTATCCAACAATGATGCTCAACCTACTTTCTAAAAAAAATACTAGTTGTTAAAGAGGGTCACTCAAGCGTCATAGTTATGTTTCAGAAAATCTAAAGTCAGACGTATTTTCTACTCTCGATGATCAGATCATTAGACTTGCATTCAGCTAATCTTCATTTCTGTCAAAATATGTTTTTCCGCTCCGCATGATTTTCCTTATTTATCCAATAAGTAGCAATGGTAACTAGGATTATTCGGATTAATTTGTTTAATAATAGTTTCAAAAATAGTCCGATTCAGGATAGACTAGACTTGGTGAGCCCAAATGACTGTATTATATTTACGATTCAACTTAGTGACGGGACAAGGTAACTATCAATTTTAAAAAATACCAACTAGCCTCATGCCACTAAGTACACACTCCTATGTTGTAACTCTCTATTGTATTACTATTTCTAGGAAGAGACATAAGAGCCGATTGCGATTTTAATTTATAAAACACAAATTTTCGAATTCAGAGGTGAAGTAGTCACACAACCTACCATCAGCTTAAAAGTTTCAAAGTCCACCTCGCTAGTATTCTGACTTGTTTCATAGTTCAGATAGGCTTAATATACCGTTAGACGTCATGATCTTCTAAACATAGAATCCACCATAATTTGTAAAGTCCTATCTAGGCTTCTTAGAGTGGTTAGCGCACGGTAATACTGCAGTGTATCTTCGTAAAGTCTATAAACAGATATCTCAGGATCTTGTATAACGACGAGCCCAACACAGAAATATTTGTTACTTTAGCTCTGTGCTGTTTTTTCTTGCTGTAAGTGATCATTCCGTAGAGACAATGGAGGTTACCTTGTATATACAACGAAATTTCCTTTTCCCCTACAAATAAATCATGATTCCGTACTAATGTATAACAGTGTTGTAATACGTGTGACGTCCTCTCGAAACAATTTATAGTCATGAATCCACTTCGTACTTTTAAAACTGGTGCCTCTTTTAGCGTAGCCACGCAGTGAATCGGTATTTGATAAATAATTCACTTCGAGAATTAAAACAATGCCAGTAGAAAGGGAGGCGGGACATTTTGTTTCATCATGATTCATGATAATTGTTAGTGTATTCGTGTGAGTTGTTGTAACTCTCCTTCAGAACAGCTCAAGGTAATAGGGCTTCGTTTTCCGTAAAAAGTACGTTTGTACACGCCTCATGAAATCTTAAATGAAACACCAACTATAGTTTAGTTCGTTTTCTGTATTTTATGAAGCAGTAGTAGAAGTGACTATTTTCAAGACCACGGCATTTTAATTACGTACCCTTAACGAGATGACGAAGAGAGAAAAACGATCGACATTATCAAAAGCCTTCTCGAGATCGAATAGTATCCATTAGGGACGAACACAGTTTGGATCAGGAAACAATGATCCAAATCCATCACAAATAAAAATATACGCAACCGAGCAGCCAATCCAGTAATTACCACCAAGTTTCCACACCTATATGATGAAGACTGGAGGTTAATTCAGGAAATGTCGTCAGAAACACGTTAAGCCAAGGCCTTGGAACACAATGCGTCCTGTAATTTGAATTTCGATGTTTCGCATCACTTAGTATGCCTCTGTTATGAGTACCCATACCTATATATCAAATAATTTTTCTAGACATAATAATGCTACAAATTACTGTTATATTAACAGAAGTTGGGTTCTATTTCATGTGAGATATCTGGTATGAATCAACTGTAGTATCAAGACTTAGTAGGCGATCAACCAGTTTTAATGATTTTGTCGTGTTTCCCAAGTTTAATTTCCCACAGAAATATGATTCTTCCAACACAAACCTTAAAAAATTCGGTAACTGTTTCTAGGACCATCTTGTTTAGTAAGTGTCCAACGTAGCCTAGCTTCCAGGTCCTTGTGAACTTACGTTTTGTTGAACCCTTACTTCTGTACTACCGATTGGGAGGCTGCTCAAGAACTTGTTTGTAGTTAAACTAATTTTAAAGTGTTTAAAAATTTTCGAATTCGACTATGATATCAGTGTCTCTGAAGGGCCATGAAGTTTCTAAATAAATCAGCTCTGTTATTTTAAGTCACGAAACCATTTAATAATTCACAACACTTGATGTATCCAAGACATTTTTTCTAAGCTTTTTGGAATTCTGAATCAAAGTTGACGATGACGTTAACAGTGTCTCCATCTGAAAGATCCTCAGTGTTTCTAAAACCTTTTCTTCACACGAACATTTTGGGACTGATTGTTCTTATTATGAAAGGGAAACCTGAGAGGCAAAATAATTTGCATGACCGATATAAGTGCAGTCTGTCAGTTAGGAGGTTCAACGTAAATCTGGATAATCGTGAGACTTAAGTAGGCTATTAGACTTAAAACCACTGTGTATATTACATATCTTGCCATAGTATTCAATTATTTTTTGTGTATTTCAAGCAACTACAATGTCTTTGTGTGAACAAATTATTTTTATACTATTCCAGTGATAGAAAAATGTAAAAAGCAATCAATTTTATGAACAAAAGAATAAACATACTGTACATCTTTCTAAGTGAACTCTTGTCCCATCACATGAAACAAAACAAATATAGTGAAAACAAAGTTCTTTTACTTTTTTCTAGAATATATTCATACTGCTAAAACTCTAGGGAGATATCCTGGAGATAATGAACTAATAATGGTTACGGATATATAAACAGCCTGATGGCTATATATATATATATATATATATATATATATATATATATATATATATATATATATATATATATATATATATATATATAAAACAAACAAATTAAAGTAATCGAATTCACATCAAAGTAAAAACTAATAAATTGTTTATATGCAAAGGAAAAACATAGCGATAGTCATAATAATAACATAATAATAGGTAATACTAGTGTTGATGAAATGGTCACAGAAAAACAAAAGAAAATGACTGGTAAAATTTAAGTCAACGTATTAATTGAACAGTTTGATAATAATGACGAAAGTAAATCATTTTATATATACAGTCCTCATGTTGTAGATAATAAATTGTCAACAACTATATATATATAACAACTGTATGATATACTTTCACAGTGGAACAACAGCTTGAATAACAGAAGGAAATATATCATTTTGAAAAAAACAATAATGTAAATATCAACAGATCATTTAATAACGATAATAAAAGAACGATGTTTTTTATCACTTGTCAAAAGTCGACATTATACGAAGAAGAAGAACTAGGACAGTAGAAATGAGTAAAACGATCTGTAGAGCTACGACACGTTAATATGCATATTATCATATGCTACTTGTTACACAGAAAATATGTATATACATAAAATAATAAGTCAGTAATGAATGTGAGTGCATGAAATTACATGATACAGTAGTGAGAGGACAATGCGCAAACCATGTTACCGTAACAGAAATTATATATAATTTATTTGTTTTACACGGGTTAGTTTCCTTTAAATTAAAAAACTTTGAGAATTAACATGTTCACAACAGCCTGAGACAGAATATAAACAAGAAGGTTATATATATCTATATATCTGGAGTACTC